AAACAATGCCTCTTGGTTGTGGAATTCTTGGATATCCCTGTCACCTTTACTTAGAAAGGGTGTTGAAGTGGTAATAAGGAATGCATGGTAAGAACACAAGAATTTCTGATGTTAACTCGATTCCTAGAGTTAAAGAAGGACAACCTATTGTCACACCAGGGTATAGGGATGATTTGATATGGGTTAAAGATCTACTCTGCGATGGTGGGTACAGGTGGAATTCTAAGTTGATTTTGGCCAACTTCTTGCTAGAGGTTGCTGGTAAAATATTACAGATTAATACTTTGAAATCAACTCTCAATGATAAGTGGAGATGCACCTTTGACTCTAAAGGGAAAGTTTTCAATAGCTGCTCTATATGCTAAACTAATTGCTGAAAAATGTTGCTCTTCTGAGGAGACTGAATGCAGTAAATATGCTGTTAGGAATAGAGCTGCAAGGATGAGGTGTTGGAAATTGCGGGTTAAAGGCAAGATAAAACATTTTATATGAAAGTGCTTCACAAGCATTCTCCCAGTAAGTGCCAATATTATGAAGAAAAGTATTCATATTGAAGTTATATGCAAGGGTTGTGGGAAGGCTGAAGAGACATTTTCAAATGCCCGAGAGCAGTCAAAACATGGAAGCTAGCTCTTGTGAAGTGGAATAGCATCCACACTGATCAGAGAACATTCAAAGAATGATGGTGGTGGATTAGTGATATGGACAACAAGGAAATCTCTGTTGACAAAATTCTGCTATCAACGTACATCCTATGGTGGTTATGGTAAGCGAGGAACCTATGAGTATTTGAAGCTAGTTGGAAACTGGAGCATCTCATCATAAAAAGTGCTCTGCAAGAGTGGTCTGAATTCAGAGCTACTCGTAGCTCTTAAGCTTATTATGTAGGAAAAGGGAATCCTCTAGGTCTTATGCCATTGGTCGATTTCCTTTTCTGTTTCTTGTGTGGTTTATTCTCTGTTCATTTTGATATGTCAGGCTCTAGTTTTGGTAGAAGGTCTCGGCCTTGTTGGGATCTGTGAGGATCTCGTTATGTACAAGTCACGAATTCAATAGCAAACGTAAACCTATGCGCAGCGGATCTAAAGGTTTGACGTAGAGAACTTACGGCTTAAAACTTATATAGATCTGGTTGACCACGAACGGTTGACCGCAAATCACGTCTTGAAGTGCACGAACAAGATCAGATCAAAACCGGATCAAACGGATGCAAACAGATCAAAACGAAATTTTGCAGCCTGGTAGCTTGAGGCGGCGCGTGAGGGTGCGCGTGAGACTTCGGATTCCGGCGATCTCAGCGGCGATGAAAAGCTCTCGTCGAGACGGTCGTCTGGGTATGTTGTACGTCCCAATCAGACTTCTGGTTAGTTCTGTAGGTCAAAATATATTTCGTCTCGGTTTACCTACAGATCTTCTACTGTATTACACAATACACCCTTCTTCAACTTGTACCAGTGGAGCAACAAGAAGAAGATAAAGCTCGAATGAGATCTAGAGAGAGAGAGGCGTGGGACGTATGTTTGTATAATGACAGATGTCATCTCTTCTCATGAGCTTAATGATGTATATAAAGAGCTACAGTAGGGACCCTAAGGAGATTAGGAAAAGGGCTCCTTAATTAATTAGACTAACTGTGGGTCAAGTCCACTCCTCTAATTAATTAAATAATAGTAATGGGCCACCAACATTATATTATTGCACTCCCTCTTCCTAGCCCAAATTACATTTGAGACTCCAATAATAATTACTCGATTTACCTCCCCACGTTTAAGATATAATGTCCATTAATTAATTCGATTACTGACAATCAAGAATTAATTAACTTATTATTATTTCACGAAGCTAGCGCTCGTTCATCACATTCTTATTATGCCGGAACTTAATCCACCTGCAGGGTTTAGCATAACAATCCTTCATGAACTCACTCTGGGGACATCATCAAACTAACGCACATGGTGACCGTAAATATCCTAACAGCACATCCTATATACAATAATATTACCCAAAACAGTAGGAATATTAATCCAGCGAACTGAACCTCACCCATGTGAATCAAAGTAATATATATTACATATATCTGCCTATTTAATATCTTACGGGTTAAGAGAACGCAGTAATTAACCGAGGCCTAGTTTATTTTACGACGATCAGTATAAAATGAACTTCTCCTCTCTGTGATCCTGTTCAATACATAAATGTACTAGTGCAATTAATCAGTCAAGACAAACTGTACAGTTGACACTACAACCGTTCGGATGGGATGTTCATGTCCATCTAGGTTGTGAACAACTATCTTGTTCGCAAGTGACTGATAGAGTGATCTTCGGTTCGCCCGATGACGACCCACCCTATCTAAGTGCAGAACAACAGAACGTAGAACTTGTTTATTCTAACATGATTCTCATTCATAAAGGGTAAATGTGTAATAACATGCAAAGCCAAGCTTTCAGTATACAACACTAACAATCTCCCACTTATACTTAAAGCTTTCGCTTTTACAGTATAGTCCTATCAATCCGTTATTCTAAAAGACGTATGTCGATCCTATCGCCATGCATCCTCTGATGCAATCTTAGCAACATCAACGTCTCCTCTACCAATGATATCCCGAATCAGATGGTATTTGCGCTCTATGTGTTTGCTTGCCCTATGGGCTCGAGGTTCTTTTTAGTTCGCTACTGCTCCACTGTTATCACAGTACACGGTGATACCACATGGCTAACTCGGTATAACCTCTAAGTCCACTAAGAAGTTCCTGAGCCAAACTGCCTCTTTCGTTGCCTTTGAGGCTGCTATGTACTCGGCTTCCATGGTGGAGTCTACCACGCATTTCTGCTTAGCACTCCTCCATGAAATGGCTCCACTTCCCAAGGTAAACACATAACCTGAGGTTGACTTACTTTCATCCCTATCTGACTGGAAATCGGAATCACTGTAACCCAGAGATAACAAGTTTTCTGCACGGTAAACTAACATGTACTCCTTAGTCCTTCTCAAGTACTTGAGTATATGCTTCACCGCAGACCAATGTTCCCGTCCCGGATTACTTTGATATCTAGCTACCATGCCAACGGCGTAGCTAATATCCGACCTAGTGCACAACATTGCATACATGAGACTTCCTATTGCCGAAGCATAAGGAACTGTCTTCATCTCCTCTATCTCTTTAGACGTCTTAAAAGACATCTCCTTAGATAGAGGTATTCCATGTCTGAAAGGTAACAAACCTTTCTTGGAATTTTGCATGCTGAATCTGGCCAAGACAGTATCTATGTATGAAGACTGGGATAAGAACAACATTCTCTTCTTACGGTCTCGAATGAGCCTAATACCAAGAATGTGTCCTGCTTCACCTTAAGTCCTTCATATCAAACTGCTTAGACAACCACACCTTTACGTCTGACAATTCCTTCTTATTGTTTCCAATAAGTAGTATGTCATCTACGTAAAGTACAAGAAACACCACCACGCTCCCACTGATTTTCTTGTAAACACAGTGCTCATCCGGACATTGAGTGAACCCATACGACTGGATCACCTCATCAGAACGGATGTTCCAAGATCTCGAAGCTTGCTTCAGTCCATAAATAGACCGATTAAGCTTACACACTAGATGCTCACGACCTTCAACAATGAATCCTTCTGGTTGCTGCATATAGACGTCTTCCTGCAGGTTCCCACTAAGGAAAGCTGGCTTGACATCCATCTGCCAGACCTCATAATTCATATGAGCGGCTACAGCCAAGAGAATCCGAATGGACTTAAGCATAGCTACTGGCGAAAAGGTTTCATCATAATCAATACCCTCGATCTGGGTATAACCTTTCGCAACAAGCCTAGCTTTAAGGGTTTGCACCTTCCCATCCGATCCTCTCTTTCTCTTATAGATCCACTTACATCCAATAGGTCGTACCCCATCGGGTGGTTCTACAAGATCCCAGACCTGATTGGAGTCCATTGACCCCATTTCCGCTTTCTTTGCAACATTCCATGAATCTGCATCTTTATCTTGGAGTGCCTCATCGTAAGTTCTTGGGTCCGATTCTAGGCCTCTTGGAACTGAGTCCGATGACTCTTCAAGACCTATCCATCGGTCGGGTA